GTTGTTAAACATTTATTACGAGGTATTTCAAAAAACAAAAATAAGGTTGTATTTGTAAAGTTTCAAATTTATATATTTTTCTTAATTTATATATTTATCTATATATGTGTGTTATTTATATTGTGTTTTATTGTGTATATATGTGTTAAGGTTATATGGGTTTATATTTTGTAAGTGTGTAAATATATGAAATGTTTCAATGTTTGTGGTGTGTTATATGTAATATGTTTATAGTTTGTAAGTGAAAATTATGTTGTTTGCATGGTTTCAAATTGCTGTGACTGGGCTTAGTTTACAGCAAGATTGTTGACCTCGCTAGCCAAGTGGTGTACTTTGCTATAATGTGACCTGGCTTTGTTGAGAGCAAAAATATTGTCCTCGCCAGCAGAGTGGTGTATTGTCATAATAAAACACATAAATTAATTCTGTTTGTAATTAGTGTATTTCTAAAATGTGTTGAAAAAATATTGTTTAAAAAATGTGTTTTAATGTTGTTATCCTCTGTTCTTAACAATGTATGCTTTTGACAATAAATAAATTTTGTTAAAAAGCAGGCTTTACTAACAGCTCCTCCTCATTAAAATTTTTAAGAGTTTCGATTTTCTTCATTAAATATGTTTAACTCAAATTTTTTTTATATATATAAAAGTAAGTATACAGCGTGTTGAAGCATAAGTTTTAATAACTTTTGTTAAATTTTTAGGATTTTTTGTATAGAGAATGTTTTCTTTATATTATTATTTTAATGTTTTGTATGTACATCAATATATATATATATATATATATATATATATATATATATATATATATATATATATATATATATATATATATATATATGATATATATATATATATATATATATATATATATATATATATATATATATATATATATATATATATATATATATATATATATATATATATATATATATATATATATATATATATATATATATATATATATATATATATATATATATATATATATATATAGACACACACACACATAATAAAATATATAGAATTAAAATGTCTATACATATATTATATGTATAGACATTTTAATTTTTTTGCCTTAAATTATTGTCCCTTTTTCTTTAGAATATTAAATATCTAAAAAAAAAAAAAAATAGTAAAAGAAGTTTCAATATTTCCAAGTTTCTTCACTTGAAGCAAATATATGATTGTTTATAGAGGTTCTTTTAGTAGTTTTGTATTTATTTATTGCAAATCTTGCGTTAAATGCCTTTCAAAGTAATGAAAGGGTTTTGTTGATGGATGATTATATTTTATCCTTCCATGCTAGCAGTACCTGCTGAGTTGACAGGCCTTAAATTTTTTTAATTTGCTTTATTTATGAGTTCTTATATGTAAAAAATTTGTTTTTTAAATTACATTGGTTTTTTTTGTTTTTTTTGATTAAATACTTATAATATTTTGTCAATAATTGATAACAACTACCATAAATATATAAACAATACTTAGTTGAAAATATTACATTAATTTATAACTTTAGTTTAAGTTTTTAATAAAACTATGTTATCTTAACACAATGCTATATATGGTAGAATATAATAGATTATAGTATTATGCTCTGTATTATTTGCTTACACTTTATTTTAGATAAGTTTAAAAAAGAAACTTCAACTTTTATTATATTAGGCATCATTTTTACACACTCCTTTGATGCCTAATTATGTCTAATAATTTAAGAAATGAAATTATTAGACTTCGTCAAAATGAAAGAAGGCAGGCTAGGCGAGCTGAGATAAACCGCCGTCGAAATGAAAGAGATGAGCCCAGGCGAGCTGAGATAAATCATCGTCGAATGGAAAGAGATGAGCCCCGGCGAGCTGAGATAAATCGTCGTCGAATTGAAAGAGATGAGCCCCGGCGAGCTGAAATAAATTGTAATCAAAATGAAAGAAATCAGGCTAGGCGAGAACTTAATAGGTATAATATGCATCGCATAGCAAGAAATAATATTGCTATAGAGAGTAACTACCTCGGAGAATTAAACCATAATTGTCAGTATTGCAGTGCAAAGAAGTTTTTAAATGAAACTCATTTTTTGTGCTGCCATTCAGGAAAAGTTATATTAGCTCCTCTTTCTCTTTATCCGCCATTGTTGACTGGTTTAATGACAGGAAACCATGTTGATCATGCTGTAAATCAAAATTTTTTTAAACACATAAGGAGTTATAATTCCTCTTTATCTTTTGCTTCCTTCACTGCCGAAATAGCTCCTCCCTCAAATAATTGCCCTTTCTGTTTTATGGTCTGTGGGCAAATTTTGCATCGTGTTGGAAATTTAAGGCCTGCAGAAGGTTGTCTGCCCAAATATTGTCAGCTGTATATCTATGATCCTAATGCAGCAGTGTCATTCAGAATGGAACAACCTGGTAATGATGGTTGTATACATGAGTTAATGCAACTCTTGCAAACATTAATTAATCAAGAAAACCCATTTGCTCTTGCATTTAAAAACATGGCAGAAGTAGAGGATGAAGAAATCCGCCAAGCAGCTTTAGAAGGTAGACCAACCTCTGTTGTAAGAATGTCTTTGCTTGAAGGTCATGATAGACGTCGATACAATCTTCCTTCCCATGAGGAAGTTGCTATTGTGTTTGTGGGAGATGATGGTGCTCCACCTGCATCCAGGGAAATTGTTATATACCCTCGAGGTCAGCCTTTAAGAACAATTTCGTCTATGTCTGCAAATTTGGATCCTTTGGTATATCCAATATTCTTCCCGAGAGGTGATGCTGGATGGCACAATCAACTAGAGCACAACCCTGACCGTGCAACCCGTGTTAGAAACCATGTTACTTTGTCTCAGTATTATAATTATAGGCTTGCTGTTAGACAAACTTTTAGTCCTATATTCTATGGTAAGAAACTTTTTCAGCAATATGTTGTTGATGCATATGTCAAAGTTGAGGGACAGCGCCTTGCTTTTATTAGAAATAACCAAAACAAACTTAGAAGTGAGCAATATGATGCATTGCATGAACATGTAATTAATCGTGCTAATGATCTTAATGTAAGACCAGGCCGTGTTGTTATATTGCCTTCTTCATATGTTGGTAGTCCAAGAGCATTAAAAGAAAACTTTGAAGATGCGATGGCAGTCATAAAGAAATATGGTAAACCAGATCTATTCATTACTTTTACCTGCAATCCAAAATGGAGAGAAATAGTAGAAAATTTAAACCCAGGCCAAACTGCTAATGACAGACCTGATTTAGTTTGTCGGGTATTTAAAACTTAAATTTTTCTTAGAGGATATTTTTAAGCATGGAGTCTTAGGCAAAGTTGTAAGTCATGTGCAGGTTATTGAGTTTTAAAAGCGTGGTTTGCCACATGTACATATTTTATTGCACTTTGTAAATGCTGATAAGCTAGAAACAGCAAGATATTGATAGTTTGATATCAGCAGAAATCCCAGACCCAGCTGTTGATCCTGAACTTTTTGAAATTATAAAATCATGCATGATACATGGACCATGTGGAATTTTAAATCCCAATTCTCCCTGCATGAAAGATGGTAAATGCACAAAAAAATTTCCTAAGGAATTTAATCCCCACACTGTTGCAATTTTTAATGGTTATCCACGCTATAGGCGCGTCGATAATGGAAGAACTGTAAATATAAAAGGTAATCAAGTTGACAACCGTTGGGTTGTACCTTATAACCCATGGCTTTCTAAAAAATATCAAGCACACATAAATGTTGAAGCCTGCATGACCATAAAGTCAGTTAAGTATTTATATAAGTACATTTACAAAGGGCATGACTGTGCCAATGTGGTGATAAATGAGCAAGTTAACCATGATGAAATAAACACGTTTTTAAATTGTCGCTATGTCTCAGCTCCAGAAGCATTGTGGCGAATATTTGAGTATTCTTTAAGTGATATGTCACATAACATCATTCGACTTCAGGTTCATCTGCCAGATAATCAGATGATATATTTTGTAGAAGGCGAAGAACAGGCAGCTTTAGACCGTGCAGCACAGCGTGACACTCACCTAACTGCATGGTTTAAATTAAATGTTGAAAATGAACAAGCCCGACACTATCCATATGTTGAAATTCCTTACCACTTTGTTTTTGATAGCATACATTGTAAATGGAAAGTTAGGCAAAGAGGTAGCAATAAGGTGATTGTTAGGATGTATAAAGTGAGTCCAATAGGTGAAATATTTTATCTTAGAATGTTACTTTTGCATGTTAGAGGTGCAGTTTCTTTTGAAGATTTGCGTACTGTTAATGGTACAGTTTTTAATACATTCCGAGAAGCATGTTCTCAATTAGGTCTGTTACAAGACGACGCTGAATGGAGAAATACATTAACTGAGGCTGCTGCAACTCGGTTGCCAAATCAAATTAGACAGTTGTTTTCCATTATTTTGACTTTCTGTGAACCTGATGATCCATTAAATCTTTGGAATGCCTTTAAAGATTTTATGATGGAGGATTACATTCACCATTCCATGCCACCAATAATTGCTGAGCAGGCAGCTTTGCGTCAAATTGAATCTATAATTAATCAGAATGGTAAGACTTTAGCTGATGTTAATCTTCCTACTTTAGATGAGTTTTTAGATTATGTCCCACAAAATGAAGAGGAAGATGTTCAGGTTTTAATTGATGAAGCAAATAGGGTTAGACCATTGTTAAATGATAATCAGCGTCAAATTGCTGATGCTATCCTTTCTGCTCTTAGTGAGCAACCTAACAATGAAAACAAGCAGTCTAGATTGTTTTTTATGGATGGCCCTGCAGGTTGTGGTAAAACATTTACATACAATTATTTAATCGCTGAAACCAGCAGTAGACATATTATAACTGCAACAGCTGCATGGACAGGAATAGCTGCAACTCTTTTAAAAAAAGGATGTACACTTCATGGTTTGTTCAAACTTCCTGTGCCGATTTTGGAAAATAGCATATGCAATGTAACTCCAAATTCTATACACGGAAAATTTAGTGTATGGCAGAAAAATAAATTACGAATTGTCTTAGATAAATAAAGTTACCGGACCTTTATTACTTAATCCATAAACAATTATTGTTTCATTCGATTTAACACCACAATAAAAAACAAAGCTTTTTCTATTTATTTTCGAAAAACGTTTTACAGGAAACCGAGTTCTTTTGTAGCATTTTAGTTAGAGTTATAGAAAAATCTATAACTCTTATTTTGTTAAGTAAAAAAAAAATCTTATGCTCTTCTAATTTTAGTCACCAATAACAACTATGTTAGGAATAGTAGAAAATGTTATGTGTGGTAGAGAAACTGTTTTAGTGTGGTGTTGTAGGAGTACTGCGGGTCTAAGAAACTTTGTTTTCATCGATAAATTATTCTATTGGTCTATTAAAACAGTATGAAAACTTTCCAGTATTTATATTTGATGTCTTTTTTTCATTTTATTTTATAATTGTAATTTAAGTTTCAAAAAGCAGCAAAAACAACTTGAAAAGAACTATCGCACAATGACTCGCTTAAACACAGGATTCCAATTTCCTGATATACATGGAAATGCTGATATTGCTTTAACTATATTGTCTCTTTGTAATGTGTAACATCATTTTTACTTAGGTTTGCCAAATGACCGGCTTTTACAGAGTAGAATATAGTCCCAAACATATACAGTTCAGTTCTTTTACTGCTTTCTTCTTCATAAAAGCCGGACGTCTTGCAACCCTTGAATTTCCCCTTCTTTTTGTTTGCATAAATTACATAATTCTCTTAATTATAAATACTCCAAATCCGATTTTCGAACAGCGTATTTTAAAATCTAAAGAAATATAAGCGATTAAAGATTACATTTTGCAAGCCAACTGGATGCTTAAACAACTCAAAAGACAGCCACGCGCTCATTATAGCTCTCTTATAGTTTTAGAATCTGAGTGAGTTACTGTTTTGAATATCTAAAATCTTCAAATTAAGTTTTTATGATTTTAAGTTAAATTAGACTTAAGAATATGTGTAAGAATTGAGAATAAATATTTACTTTTTATTTTAGAAATGAACACACAAGAAAATTTAAACGGTATGTATTTATTGCATATGTGTGTTAGTGCTATATGCGCTTATATTAGATATTATATCTATATATCTATATATATCTAATATACGCGTATACAGCACAAACGCTATACTTTATTTAGTACGCATATATAAATATATAAATATAAATAGACAAACAATTTACACTCTTATAAACAGTGTTGGGTTAACTGATAGACAAAATAAGCACTGCTATCATATTTTATTTATTGGAAATAAATAAAAATATCAAGTAATTCTCTTTTTAGACGATGATGGTGACTTTTTTAGAAGTAAGTAAACTATAATTTCTTTAGAAGTAAACAATTTTTATTTATATAAAGTGATGTTTATAAAAAATTTATTTCAAGTATGGAGAAATCAGTAGCATATTTTTTATCAAATATTTGTATACTAATAGCAATTTGATTGTTGGTAATAGTTATATAGTTATATACACGCAGCTATTTAATAGTGAAATTTCATTATTATATGTAAAATTCAAATCTTGAAATAAGAAAAAAATCTTTATGTGTTTTTCAACTAGAAACTTGGAATTTATTTTCTAGACCAGATGTTGTGATTATTATATTTTCTAGACTAGATGTAGTGCTTTATCATATGATATGCTAAATGTATATATTGTATTGTGTGTATATCTTAGATGCGCAGGAGATAGTGGCAGAAGAGACAGAGTCTTTTCTGCCTTATTTGAAAGAATTCTTAGATAATCAAAGTTAGCATTTTCTATTTTTTCTTTTTTACTTCAGTTTTTTCGAAGTTTATGTTACAGTATATAAATTTATGAACTAATCTTTCATACATTTTGTTTATTTAGAAAATTTAGAAAGTAGAGTTAGTAAGCAAAATTTCATTATATTACTTTTATGTATATTAAATAAAAAATAATGAGGTTGGTGAGTAAAATTGCTTTTATGTTTATTATGCACCCTAATTATTTATGTACATCTAATATTAAATGCGTTTTTTCAATTTAAGATTAGTTTTGGACTTTGTACTTTTTGGTCAATTTTTTTAGATATCATTTTAAACTACATTTGTAAGTAACTATATTATGTTTTATGTCTCATAAAAGTTTTAATAAATAATATAATGTAATCACTTATATAGTGACAAATCCAACTTCCTCAGTAACGTATGTTGTTGTACTCACTTATACTTGACTTAATTTATGGATTAATTGGTTTTATTGCATTTTTAATTTTCTTTTATTTATCTCTAGCTGCTGCTTCTTCTGTTACAAGTAAGTTGTTCTATTCACTTATACTTGACTTAATTTATGGATTAGTTGGTTTTATTGCATTTTTAATTTTCTTTTATTTATCTCTAGCTGCTGCTTCTTCTGTTACAAGTAAGTTGTTCTATTCACTTATACTTGACTTAATTTATGGATTAATTGGTTTTATTGCATTTTTAATTTTCTTTTATTTATCTCTAGCTGCTGCTTCTTCTGTTACAAGTAAGTTGTTCTATTCACTTATACTTGACTTAATTTATGGATTAATTGGTTTTATTGCATTTTTAACTTTCTTTTATTTATCTCTAGCTGCTTCTTCTGTTATAAGTAAGTCACTTTTACTTAACTTATTACATTGATTGATTGTTTTTATTGCATTTTTAATTTTCTTTTATTTATCTCTAGCTGTTGCTTCTTCTGTTACAAGTAAGTTGTTCTATTCACTTATACTTGACTTAAATTGGATTAATTGGTTTTATTGCATTTTTAACTTTCTTTTATTTATCTCTAGCTGCTTCTTCTGTTATAAGTAAGTCACTTTTATTTGACTTATTACATTGATTGATTGTTTTTATTGCATTTTTAATTTTCTTTTATTTATCTCTAGCTGCTGCTTCTTCTGTTACAAGTAAGTTGTTCTATTCACTTATACTTGACTTAATTTATGGATTAATTGGTTTTATTGCATTTTTAATTTTCTTTTATTTATCTCTAGCTGCTGCTTCTTCTGTTACAAGTAAGTTGTTATATTCACCTTTACTTGACTTATTACATTGATTGATTGCTTTTATTGTACCTTTTGTTTTTTAATATAGCTACAAATGTGCTTTCCAGTTTAATTAGTTAATGTAATAAGTCAAGTATTAGTGAGTAAAATAAATAAGTTGTTGTGCTCACTTGTACTTAATTTATTACATTATTTGCTTTTATTGTTTTTTTACAGTAGATTTTTTGTAAGTATTACCTTGGTACATAGTTTTATTTAAATATAATTTTTTTTTCAGGCTCGAAGTCATGGAAAGAATTCAGAAAGTATCGCTCCCAGCATCCAGGCCCTCTATCTATGAGGGCCTTCCATCGCTGGTGTTTGTATGGGGACGACCATCCCTCCTTTAGATGGAGGGATGGCACCCCATACAACACGGGGTATAGAGCGGATGCTGGGAGGAGAAGACAACGTGGCGCAAAAGTTGTCAATAATTTTTTTACATATTAAAATGTAAAGAAATTGACAACTTTTGAGCCACTTCATTTTTTTTTTTGTAATATATTTTTGTAAATTTATTTTTGTGTTGTTTTTTATTTTTCCCATGAATGTTAAATGTTATCAAAGTAAATCATTTAAATAAAGACACCTTTATCAACAATGCTCATTAACTAGAAATAAAAGTCACGGTCATACATTTGATAAAGTTAATGTTAGTCTCAAAGGGATTTGGTTTTCACACAATCAAATTCTATCTAGCACCTTCCAGAACTAAGAATATAAGTGTGTGGTGTCAGTAGTTTAAAATATGTATAATAAACTCAGAATAACTCAATAACCCTCAACAAAACTATGAACTAATTTTTAAATTCAAGTTGAGCTTTTTTATTTATTAATACCTCCCCTCCCAATAACTCTAATTTTCCTTAAAAAACTAATTTTTTTGTCCTTTGGAGGTGGTTCTGCTATTTAATTAATTGTTGTGATGTTTTATGCAAATAGATTTAGCTCACATTCATGTTGGTCTGTCAGGGTTATGTAAAAATAAAAAAGTAAGTTTCTTATTCGCATTTTTGAGTTTTCAAAAGTATTGATTGCATGACATGTTAATTTGTAATTAATGTGTATGATTATGATTATGCGTTTAAATAACTTTGTTCCATTTTTAGTTCCGTTTCTTATAGCTGACTTGATTATGGCTTACCTAAAGCTTAACATTTATGAAACAATGATTCAATTTAAATTGTATTATAAGTAGCTCTGTTGAATAAATTTTTTTTTTGTAATTTGTACTAAAGGTTATATTTTTATTTTATATCAAGAAAAATATGTTTTTAAGTAAATATCTATATTTTTTTATTTTGGGATTTATTGTTTTAAATGGATATAAAAATAATTTTTGCTTTGTCTTTTATATTTCCTTTTATTATATATGAATAGGAACCATTTATGCTTTAATCACCATTAGCACTCGAAGTTTCCATTTGCATTAAGTATCGATTTTTGGCACACACAACAGGTTTAATAACTTAGGCAGTAAAAACAGCTTGAATGATTTGTTAAGAGTCTTTAAAGAAACGCTTTTACGAAAAGCATTAAATAGATAAAGCTAACTTATTTAAAATAATAAGTCTTTAACCCGTTTTTCTATATCCAAATTTACTTTTTAAATAAATGTTGATGAAAGGGTAAAATATCGTTATAGCCTACGTTAATTTTAAATTCTTTTTAAATTAAAGGAAAGAGTTTTGATACTTATTTAAATAGGGTTAATAAAATATTTGAAATTATATTATATATATTATATTTAAGAAATTATTAAACTAAATTAAATAAGATTTTTAGATGAAACAGTAAAAATAATTGTTTAAAATACGTGCGTGCAAATAATTCCTACAAATACTAAACGTAAAATAACGCTTACAAACACCAAAAGTATGTTTGCAGTGAATAAAGTTAAGTTCAAAGATAAATAGGAAGAAATGTTTAAAACTGTTTCAATGATAACATTTATTTTTAATTACTTTTGTTGTAAGTTGGGATGAAAAAAAAAAGTCACTGGAGTATGAACTCCCGGGGTAAGATGACTATAAATGTCTAAGTGTTGCGCGTCTACCAATTAGCCCATAAACGTATTTTCTATTTAAATTTAAGATTATTTATGACGCATAAGAAGTGTAATTAAAAATTCAAAACCAAGTTTGCAACAACTGAGTTTAAATAAAATCTAATTAGATGTGTATATGTTATGAACGTTAACTAAGGTAGGGTTGTTCGCCGAAAAACAAAACTTACGAAAATTTCGCATTTTTATCTTCCGTAATGGAATTGTTATTGCGGAAGTTGCACATGCGAAAATGCACATTCCGTAACGCTCTATACGAAAATATAAATAAATAAAATTCCGTAATAACGCATTACGAAAGAAGACTTGCGAAACAAATCATTTCGTAAGAATACTTACGAAATAGTTCATTACGGAAGGAGCATTCCGGAATGTACAGTTACGAAAAAGACGCAAAAGATTTTATGTTACGATATATTTAAGATATTAACTGTTAACAGTTTAAATAATAAATAATAAAATTATAAAAAAATGTTGTCAAATGATTCTTCAAATGTTTATACAAATATACCTTTTATATATATATATATATATATATATATATACATATATATATATATATATATATATATATATATATATATATATATATATATATATATATATATATATATATATATATACATTAACGGGATTTTACTGTATATATATATATATATATATATATATATATATATATATATATATATATATATATATATATATATATATATATATATATATTCATATATATATAAATATATACATATATATACAGTAAAATCCCGTTAAGTTGGACTCTCAATGAACAGATAAACAGTATGCCTTTCTTTTTAAAAAGTATAAAGAGGATGTGTGATAAACAATTAAATACTTTATTATAAAGAACGAGAGATCTCTCTAAAGGTAAATGATATCAGCAAAGAGTAAAAAGAGAAGAAATATATGTGAAACAGCAGGATGTGAACCTGGGTCTACGCGGCCAAATGTCTTAACTGAATGAGCTATACGTTCATTCAACTAAGTGAATAGTAATATTTATTTAATATACAATTAAGAAACTATATAAAACAGAATTTACAGAAAGAGATACAAATGCAAATAGGATTCTATATATCAGGAAAATGAATAGTAATGTGAACCTTTAGATGCTTGTAATTAATATCTGGACTCAAAAACTAGTTACTTTTAATGGAACACATTAGGCTGTAGGAGCCTCAGGGAAATTATATTCAGAAATGGTTATATTAGACTCAGAGTTAGCTAGAAATTATTACAAAATATTTAGGACAGATGTCTAGTACAAAAAGCAAAAGATTTAAAGCAAAATGATTTATATTATTTGAAAAAGTTGTTTTACGTACATTTCATCATAATTTAAGTAGAATTTAGTAAAGCAAGGGAAACGTGTTGAATTAAGCACAATGAACTCAATCTTAAAAGAATAACTAACAGAAGAGAGGTTGTCACTATTGTGAAGGTGACGAAAGATCTGTAATATAGAACATGGAGGTCAAAAAATGCTATTTTAAGTAAAAAGAGTTTGATGAACAAAAGTTACAATGGCTGCGGGATGCGAACCGGGATCTCTGCGGCGAATTATCACGTATCTAACTGATTGAACTATACAATCTTATACTCAAATTTATATCTTATTAAAATTAAAAAACAATATTTTCTAAGATCTATACTTCGAAAAGCGTATTCAAACAGGACTCTACATACCTTTAAAATCTGCTAGAACTT